CCCTGGAGACTTCCTTGTCCTGAGGGCGGCGGTGATAGCCATAGCCAAGCCTCAATGGGCGTTCCACCGGCTGCCAGACCTCCTTATCCAGCGGTTTCTTATCCAATGCCCTCGCCGTATGCAGTCCCAGATATGCGACGTCTTGATTTTGCAGGACGGCGTCCCCGAAAGTCCAGACCCTTTCCCCGGGGCCGGTTTTTCATCCTGAGTCGTCTGTTGACGCTCCCGGGGGCCGGCGAGGGCCCCCGCAGAGGCCGAACATGGCGAAACACTTGCCGCCTTGAATTTTTTACGACACGATCACGTCTGGGTGGGGATTTTCACCTCCGATACCTGGCGCAGCGTCCCCGGGAGCCTGCCACCGCGGGCTGCAGCGGGGCGGCGCCGCCGGCCGGCCCGCCGGGCTTCTGGCGCGGCTCCGCCGTTGGGCCGCGCCGCCGGCGCCGGGCTGCGCGCAGCGCGCCGCCGCCCGCCTTCTGCGGCAAGGCTTAGGTCGGGCATGTCCTCCGACAGTCGGATTTTGGACGAAAAGTCAAAATTACAAAAGAACAAAACAACTCCACTTATATATACACAAAAATACAGAGAAAGTCGTCCCCATACCATTTTATGAACTATGTGGGATGATTCCTCCTGTAGAGGGACGTGCCCGGCTTGAGGCAAGGCATGGGAGCCTCCCGTGTCATCTGGCGAATCGACACTAGCCGACGCTACGGTAAGAGCTCGATCACAAGAAACCTTCCACAAGAAACCTAACCCTGAGACCCCAGGGCGTCCTTTGATTTTTGGTGTGGGAACCTTTCCATCGCAAAACAATCGAAACCCAAGAAACCCAGGGCACACTGGACGCATGCAGGGTGTTTCTTGGCATGGGCTTCCAGTGCAATCGACGCTCATCGATGCTACTCTTAGGTCGGGCATGTCCTGCTACAGGCGGACGCTGGAAGACAACTTTGAAAGCTGCCGAACAAATCAAACATAGTCAAAAGAGCACGAACCATCGTGCCCAGACTTGTTTTACTATTCTTGACTGTTGCCCCTGCAGAAGGGGGCATGCCCGACTCAATGCTGCCCGACGCTACCTCGACGCTAGATCGGCGCTGTCTTACCGAGCACCAGGGGCGAGCGCACGCTAGCGCATTCTGTAGAGTGACTTCCGAGGACACACGCTGGAAGAAAAAACAACGGCATAAACATAAACTTTTGGCGCTCCGCGCGGATCTCTTGGGCCTACCCTGGGCCCCCCTTCTCATTGCACCGGCCTTGCAGACGTGCTGCAGCGGACTTCTGCGTGGATTGTTGCCCGACACGGCGTGCGGAAAACGAAGTGAACTTCGCGTGGATTCTTTGGGGTCTTCACTCCTGGCCAAAAAAATCCGCGCGAAATCCACCTCGACATCCGGAACGAAAGTCTCCAGGGCACTCCGGGCCCACCCAGATCGTTTTCCGAGCGAAGTCCGCTCTGCGATGTTGGCGAACGGACCCTCCCTGGTGCGCGGAGCGCGCCAGGGGCGGCGCCGGAGGCGCCGCTGGCGGGGGGCCCGGCGCGGACCCCAGGAACCCGCGCGGAGCGAGGCTCCCGCGAGCTGCCCCCGAGCCCGCCTGCGGGGCGGCCCGCGGTGCTCCAGCATCCACCTCTCCAGCGCGAGCCGCTGCTGCTCGGTGAAGGCGGCGCCGAGCACGGCGCGCCGGCGCCCGCCGTGCAGCCGCCCGAGCAGCCTGCGGGCGCGGAGGGGCCGCCAGGGCCCCCCCCCCGCGTCGTGGCGAGCATCGCGGCGGGCGGGGTGTGACCTAATGTGAGTCGTTTTGCCGTTCGGCGCGGGCCCTCGCAGCCCCCCTTCCTGCCCGCCTCCCCCCCCCCCATGGAGTAGATCCTGGCTGTTTTGGGGCGCCTGTTCCAAGCAGGTGGAGCCTCCCCCATAGGACGCACTGCTGCAAACAGTCGCATTAAGCAGAGGTCTGGAGCCAGACCCCACCCCCCATCCCCCCTCCCTTCCGCCCAATGTCGACACGCCGAATGAGAAAACTCTCACAATAGCGTTTCGCGAGAGGGTTCGACCAGAAATCAAGAATGGACCACAAAAGAGACCCTCAGGGGGCCTCCCCTGAGTCTTCCTCACAATCTACAGTCGGCCCGTACCATATGGATGACGATAAGGATGCAAGGGTCTTGGAAGGCCACATCGAAGCTTTTCGAGCGGGGCGCGGCCAACGAAAGTTGCGAAGGATGGACCGATGAGGCAAAAAGTTGCTCATCCTTACTACGCGGGTCGACTGTACTCAGGAATTGTGTTCTCGCCTCAATGCCGGCTACATGTTTGGTCTGGACGGCGACGATTCATTGACAAACTAAATTGATTAGCGTGGGAGAGGCCGTGATCTCGCCCTTGCCCCCCTACCCGACCTCCTACTCCTCCACCCTCCTATTCACCTTTACTGCTATGAGGGCGCCTTGCTGGGGTGTTTGCTGTGTGATGTTCCCCCTCGCGCCGTGACGAAAATCACAGCAGACGGGTCTCAATGTTTCGCCGCTGGTCCCGGGGAAATGATTCAGGCCGGTGGGGGTGTCTCAAGCGGTGTGTGTGTGTGTGAAGACTCTCGAGACTTAGGCAGGGTGATCACACGGCCGAGCAGAGCAAGGCCATCGCACAATCCCCTGACTGGAGTTCACAGCTCCTGAGAGTGGTCGCAGCAGCCCTCAAGCGGTGTTTGCTCGACGGGCCTTCTGGGCTCCTCCCTCTTGAGGGGCACATGGCCCCGGCGGCATCGCAGGCGAGGCACCCGGGCACCCCAAGGGGGAGACGCCAGGGGGGCAGAACGCTCGCCTGGTCGCGCCCAGACTGCGGGGAGTGCAGCGGCTTGCTCGCCTGGCCCCTCCGACTCCCTTCCTGGTGAAAGCCCCGCGATCGCCTCGAGACGTAGCAGGCGAGGCACCTGGGCACCCCCAGGGGGGGCGGACACTTGCCCGTTCGCGCCAAGCTCACGGGGCTGTCCTCAGCGGCCCGCCTGCTTTGGACACCCAGTTTCTGCTTGGAGCTGGAGAGTCCACGGGCCACCGCGACACAGCAGGCGAGGCACTCGGGCAGCCCACGGGGAAGCGGCAAGAGAGGGGGACGCCTGTCCGTTCGCGCCCAGATTGCGGGGATATCTCAGTCCGTCCGCCTGGTCTGGTGCGTCGGATTCCCCTTCGTAAAAGCCCCGTGCCCACCACGATGTAGCAGGCGTAGCACTCGGGCGCTCCAAGGGCGAGCCGTCAGGGAGCGCTCAGTCGCCAGACACGCCCACTCGGTCGCCAGACGGTCGCCGTCAGGCGCTGAGGTTCTCTCACTCAGACTCAGAAACTTACAGATAGGACTGCCAAGAGCGGAGATGCACATACGGGCATCTCCGTCTCGAATGATTTCAATGCGCGGCCCCAAAGGTCCCGACCTGTCCCAAAAGGCAATTTCTCGTCCCGGATCAGTGGTTGATTCTCCTGGGGTTCAGCCCCAAAACCAAATTGAAGGAAAACCGCTTGGATAAGCACGGCCAGAACTTCTCGACGTCGGCGCTGATCCGTCGATGGCTTGGGGCACCTCTGGGGCCCCCTGGGTCTGGCCGAAATCGGCGCGCCCCCCCGACACTTCCATTCCACTGGCAGAACTGTTGGCCAGCGCACAGACGGGGATCTTCTAGAGGCCTCCTAGATGGGGTCCGACAAGATGGGGTCGGAGGATCTCGCCGCATCGCCGATGCATCGGCGATGCCCTGGCGACGTCGGCGGTGCATCGGCGCCGTCGGCGTGGAGAAAGTTTGGCCCCACATCGAGCCGCATCGCCGATAGATCGCCGATGCATCGCCGACGCGGCGCGACCCTCCGACGCCACCTATTCCGACCCCATCTATCAGGGATGGACTGAACCCCCTTTAGCAAAACGTGGTTTAGTGAGAACGATCTCAGGCCCAAACCTGGCGGCCGCGGCGGCCTCTCGAGAACCGAAAACGGACAATTCGCCAATCGACGTGTCAGGGTGGGGGTTCTGTCCACTCCCGAATCGAGGAGGCCTAGATCTTCGCCGCTTGCTTCGCACCGGAGCCTGTGCAACCGGGCCAGCAGCCGCACGGTCCGTCACCGCGCGGTCCGTCACCGCACGGTCCGTCACCGCACGGTCTTGGGACCCTGGAAGCCCCAGTCGCCCGAGACATCCTCGGAAAACGACCCAAGTCCCAAAACCGTGCGGTGACCCCGAGTCCTCACCAGCTCACCACACGGTGTGGTCACCACCCCTTTTGCGGGCCCCCGATATCGGGGGTTGCTAAAGGTGCCCCTGGCCCAAGGTGCCCCCAGCGTTTCGCTCCGTTTCGGAAGCCCCTGGGACCCCCTGGGCCCCGTGAGGGGTGCGTTGGAGAGCCCGAGGAGGCCCCCTTGGAAATCCTGGGGGCACCGGGGGCCCGAGGCACCCCTGTGCCTCGTGAGGGGTGCGTTGGAGGCACAGGAGGCCCCCTTGGAAATCCTGGGGGCACCCTGGGCCAGAGGCACCTCTAGCAACACCCGACGACAGATCTTCGCCGCTTGCTTCGCACCGGAGCCTGTGTAGGCGGGCCAGCAGCCGCCCCTCACCGCGCCGCGCCGCGGCCGCGCGGATCCCGTGCCTCTTGCCCGCCCCCGGCGCGCCGCGCCGCGGGTGCGCGCACGGGGCCGCGCCCTGCGCCAGCCCAGGGCAGCCTCTCGCCAGCGAGGGCGAGGGCGAGGGCAAAGACGAGGGCGAGGGCGAGGACGACGACGAGGACCACGACGGCGACGACGACGACGACGACGACGACGACGACGACGACGACGACGATAACGACGACGACGACAATGACGGCGACGAGGACGTCCCCCCGCCTACACGCCAGAGTGAGGCTGCACGGACAAGAGTGGCCCTTGGTGCGCGGCTGTAGTGGGCGCCGCGGAGGGGCCAAACCCAAGCGCGCGAGCTGCTGCTGCAGACCATCGCATCGCATGCAGCGAGCGGCGGCGCCATTCTGGGGAAAATGCCATAGTTTCATGATCTTGCGCAATTGTGCTCTAGAGCTCGGAGCTCTCTATTTCAGCCAAGTCCCCGGTGGTAGCCCTGCCCTCCGGCCTTCCTCGCCTCCTCACCCCCTCAGGGCTTCGGACTGCTCTCTCTTCGTCGTCGCCGTCGTCGTGTCGTGTCGTCCTGTCGTGTGTGTCGTCGCGGCCTCCCCTGACTCCCTCTGCCCTGGCCTCCGTGGCAGCCCAGGCCTCCGGCTCCCTCCTGGCCTCCATGGCCTCCCTGGCCTCCACTGCCCCTCCCCCCCAGGGTTTCGGATTGCGATGCTACTATCGTCGTCGATGTGTCGTGTCGTGGTGTCGCCGTAGCCTCCACTGGCCTCCCCTGGCCCCCCCCTGCCCCCCCGGGGGCTTCGAAATGCTGTAT